TATATATAAACTTTATTGTATATATATATAAAATAAAACTTTATTGTCATTAATCATTATAAATTCAAGGAAGCTTTACTTATATATCGATCAATTCTTTTTTTTTTATTATTTGTCATATATATGCTATCTTACTTATGCATAAAAAATTATATTTAATTATTTTAAAGGTTAAAAGAGTATTATTTTTATGCAATATAAAAAAAATGGGAGGTATAAATATCAAGTAAAATATAGACATTAGATATGTAAATACAAAGGAATTGAGGACTTATGTATGTTATTGCCCTTATATTCAAATATTCTATGCACTTAATTGAGGCTAAGTCAAATCAAATTAGGAGAATTAGATCTAAGCCAGAACAATAGAAGATTGGACTTGCATACATTCAATTGAACTCACTCAAAGCCTGAATCAATATAAACCTTGGTCATCATAAACTTATTAGTAAGTAGCTCGAACTCGCCGATTAAGTGCATGGTGAACTAGCTGATTAAGTGCATGGTGAGCTCTCATGAACTTGTATTGCTCAAAGGAAACTTGCAAGAAACTTTGTTAAGTTAACAATTTTATCAAGTATGTGATTCATCCGGCTAAGTAGACGACTTCACTTAGAGAAGAAAAGTTATAGTCATATCTTTTATTGAATGCACTAGCAAGATTCCAACTCATTCACATGTAATTTTGACTTCAAAATCCTGAAAGGTGATGTGAGAATATATACAAGCAATGAATCATGAGAGACATGTTTGATTATATAAAGGATAAAACAAAAATATTTTTATGAGAGAACCAAAATCTAATCACATGAAGATAACTGGCGAAAATATCGTCACAAATTTCACTGAGAAGAAATAATTTGTTGCTGATGGGCATGTGTAAATGTTGTATGGGCATCTTCATCTAGTGCTCATGAAGATAATTGAAAAAAAAAAATTTACACCATGGAGAACCAAAAATATACAGAGATACACGTTCAGATAAACTCTCTGCAAAAACATAACCTTACAAAACTCTGCTTCAAATCTTCATCTTGATTAGGAATGTCAATTTGACTCGTTGTTCACGAGCAACTCTTGTACGGCTTGTTAAACAGCTCATGTTCGGCTCATTCGTTAAGCCCGACGAGCCGAACAAGAATAAAAGTTTGTTCGCTCGTATTCACTCCAAAATTTATATATATATATATATATATATATATATAAACAGCTTTTAAAAAAAATATTATTTTAATTTTATTTAAAAATTAATTATTATAATAATTTTGTATTATAATGAACTAATATTTGAGCCGAACACGAATATTAATTAATTTTTCGAGCTGAACACGAACACATTGTTCACGAGCTATTTCAAACACGAGTCAATTTCGAATTAGCCGAACACGAGCCTAGCCGAAGCTTGCTCAAGCTCAGCTCGTTTACAACCCTAATCTTAATATAATAAAAAAAAAGCCCTCACAAAAATTCTCATCATTGACTCTTTTCTGTTTCATGAAAGTCATATCAAGAAACACCATGCACAAGAGTATAATTCTTCGTCACTCCAATCGCGACTTGAGAACTATAACAGGAGTAATTGTCCCGGCGGCGTAACAACACCGAGAAACCTTAGCAGGTTTCCTATTCCTTACAAGGAGAGCCTACAGAAGTGATAAATTTTATTCAGGACATATAAAATATGTATATAAATATAAATATTTTTGTTGTTATTTGTACATGAATATATGTGTGTAAATACATAAAATTTATGTGATTTGTATGTAAATTCCCTTAATTATAATAAAATAAGCATATTGATTATTTTCCTTCACGAATCTCGAGGCAACCTTTTTGTGCCAGAAACATTCAAACTTTAATGAAGAGTCATCCAGAGCTACGATTTCGGTAAATTTATAGTCAAACTGACCGACTCGATGAGACGGACCTAATGATATTATAATTATTTCAATCCGAGTCAGATAAAACCCAAATTAAATTATTAAACAAATATTGGAGGATTTCCGAACATATTTGGAAGGTCAAACGAATGTCGAATTTAGCGAGTTCATAGTTGATCGAGCGTCTCGACAAGACGAATCCAATGAGCCCAAGATTGCTTAATTTCGACATCGTTAAGGTAATCAAATGCCTATCAAACACCATCTGATCGAGGAAAGCTATCCGGACCGTCCGATCAAAATAGTTCATATTCCTGTATTAATTGCACCAATAATAATATAAATAGAGTCACACCCCTCACACGAAGAAGGAAACTTGAGAAAACTTGAGGCTTAGAGAAGAAACACAAGTCCAACAACATCTCTGCCATCGTCGTCACCGTCGACCACCACCAACTGTAGGCAAACACCGCAGGCCACCTTCGACCACCGCCGATCACTGCTGACCCCCGCCGACCACCGCCGACCGTTATTCACTGTCGTCAACCACTGTTGATCGCCGCCGACCTCCGTCAAACAAACGTCGTGAGTCGACGCTGTAACTTGGAAAATATAGTAACATTTTCTCATATGTGAGACAATGAGTCTCTGTAATCATCAAAGTATAGTAAATTTTTATAGCTAGGTCAGGCCTCGCAGTTTTTTCCCTTTACAGATTTGTCACGTAAAAACTTCTAGTTTCATCACATTTTGTTTCCCTTTCATCTAAGTGTGTGTTGAATCCTGGTGTAATGCTATATCGATAATCCATTACTCTGCCGCCGCAAATTTTCTAGCACACTTCAATTAAAAAAACCAAGGTTGAAAATTTATCATTAAATTTATATCAGATTATTGTTTTACAAATATTTTCATAGTTGGCTTAGCTGATGCTTGCGTTGTAAACATTGTTGGGTTTGTCGTCCAGCTACCACACCGTGTAAAATGTATTCAAATTTGACGGCCTGAGGACATGATTTGATTGATATTCCATGCAGGTTAATTTTGAAATATGTTTATTTTACACAGAGGGCTTGCTTTTCTGGTTACTTTAACTTTTATCTATTTATAAAAATATAAAAAATATTTTAACTAATATTTTAAATTTTTTATTTTAGAATAATCTAATCAAGCTTTTAAGTAAAACATACTATAATCTTTAAATCTATTTTAAAATGTGAGGAATATAAATTACTCATATATTTGCTCAACTTAATTAGAGCTAATAATGAGTCATGTCAATTAGGTCAAAACCAACCGAGCGAAAAGCCGGGCAAGAAGATGACTGATCGATTCAAGTACAAGTCATTCGACTAGAAACGATACAAGCAAAGCTGACTCAATACAATAGCCCATCTCAGCCGAATCAATATAGTATTTGTATGGTATTTGATTCAAAAGCCCCCCTTTCATTACATAATTATAAAAATTTTATTATTCAAAATTTATTAATTAAATCTTCATAGCTTCTTGATTGGAAGTGAGGCGCAATTATTGAGGTGGCAAGTCAAGGATGAAAATGTTGAATATTGGGAGGAAAAAAATGTTCACAATTTCTTTTGCCAAGTTCTAATATATGTATGAAAAGATGCACTCCATTTAAAAAAAAAGATAGAATTGTAATATTTTGATGTGATGTCAAAAATTTTAGTGGTATGTATATAAATATGAATTTTTAGGCATTAGAAACACAAGTACATAAGAATTTTGTGGTATATATTTAAATCAAGAAATGATATCATGATGGAGCAAATGTCATTGCGGGGAGCGAAAAAAATATTACATAAGAAGTCATGATGCAAAAATGTATTAGAACTTGAATTACTGTCTACCACTGTGTATTAAATTTTTTATTATTACAGTTTGTTATCTTAGACTTCATACAGACTTTTTTATATTTTTCTCAATTCTCTCAGTTTTTACGTCCAAATCAATTTTTATAACATAACTTATTATATTTTATCTTTTCTTGCACATTATTACTCTACCACAAATTATTTTTATATATAGAAATTTTTTCTTTTGATTCTCTAAATACATTTTTTGTCACTTAGTGTTTATTACTTTATTCCACATAGAATTGCTTCTTCATGAATGTCCCAAATTTTGAAATATTTATGTTCACTCATAAAAATAATTTTATTTGTGTCTTTTAGAAACCCCATCTAATTATATGACAATGATTCCTAGTTTTTCTTATTTTACTTGGAATGACCTTACAATCATAATGTTCTTGACGCTCTCTTCTTCACATAAGAAAATATCAATTTGTATTTTATTACATTCATTCTTATAGGTAATAATATGCTCATCTCTTTTCTTAAATAAAGTATTAGCAATAATAAAATCATGCGCTAAAACAAAATTTAATATAGTTCTACCTTATTCATTAATCACGTCAAAACATAGGCACCATGAATATTTCTAAAATCTTCTATAACTTTATCAACACATCCATTTAAAACTTCTTAAATAAAAATTCATTCTTCAAGATGTATCGTTTGTGTTGAGAATTTTTGGGCAAGGAAATCACAAGAATCGACACAAATCAAAAAGAAAAAATAGAGATTTAACGAGGTTCGGCAGATTGCCTACGTCCTCGGAAGCAGAGCGACGACTTTTCCTTTAATTCAGAAAAAGAGTACAAGATACCCGTTGATATGTATATATATATATAGTCCTGACGTACATTATGCAATTACAAAATTACCACTGTACCATACCGTGGGGGCAACACGAGCTCCGCTCCGCTCCTTCTCTCCATTCCGCTCCAACATTTGTCCTTTATCTGATATATGAGTCATACATAAAAGTTTGTATTAAGTCTTCTAGATAATTCAAAAAATTTTCTTTAGAACCTATATCTAAACATACTCAAGGATCATAAGCAATTGTAATATTAAAAATCTTAGTATCAACAACAATCTTAAGCGCAATAATTTTATCTCCATTTTTATTAATTTTTACAACATTATCATTCAAACTCTTATCTATAATCACACATACACCATCTTTAGTGCAACTCTTACTTGAATACCAAAGTTTAGAACTCAAGTTATCAAACTTCTTAATCTTTTCTTTCTATAAATCCTAATATTAACTAATTTTATTTATTTACCTCTGAGAGTACCTATATTCCAAATACTATCATAAATTAGTTTATAGACTAACTTTTTTACTTGCATCTATCCGTAATGTGAGAACATGTGCTTAGTTGACACTACACCTACGCGACGATGTAATGATCATTGCACACATTTCATAGTATTCGGGACATACAACAAGTCGCTTCCAGGGAGCGCCCTAATATTTACACAATGATCAAAAGAATTCATGTAATGATTTTTCGAAAAATTTTATGCTAGTTGTTGAATAGCTAAAACAACACTCAACATTTCACATCTTAGACTCGAGACCCAATAATAACAATATTAGGAGACTCGAGACCCAATAATAACAATATTAGGAGAGTGTTTGTAATGAAAAAATAATTAAAATGTTATATTTAAGTTTGATGCTGTTAAAAAATTATGTTTAGTGAGCATTTTAACACTAAAAAAAGGACAATTACGTACATACCAGCCAAAACTTGCTATTTACAAATCAATCTCGTTCTTTCATCCATTTTTTAAATTCTCACTAAAATATCAAAATTCATTGTAAAATCCAAACAAACAATTATTCAAAAAAAAATAATAATAATTAAAAAAAAAACCCGACCATCGGAAGAAAGACGGAAGAGCATTTCCGGAGCTTCAAACCCTAGGGGTCAACTTCGGTACCTGAACTCTCCTCTTCTTGCATAGCTAATCACCCCATCTCATTACCAAGGTTTACGGTAAATGCTCCAATCCCCATTTTTCTCTCTCCCCCAATTCATCTCCGTGCTTTGATGCATCGAATTTTTCATGAGGCCTGTTACCCTAAATCACTGAAACTCCATTTCTTTTCAATCTTATATTATAGGAGAATGGGGACTTTGATCCACCGAAGTATGATGTTTCTTACGGACAAGGAGTGCTTCGATTCGCATTTTCGGAACCCTAGAGGTTGCTGTGAAGGATGGCCCATGGATTTCAGCATGAAGGCAGTTCCCTTCCCTGAATCCAGGTCTGGTTTATTTGCTGCCATTCTCGCTTAATCTGCCATATTGGGGGAAGCTTTTATTTTCTTTCCAAGGCGAAAAAATGGCTGCATGAACCCTAAAAGTTTCTGATTTGATTAACCTAAGGAAATGTAGCGTGCATATCAACTATGGAAGCATCAAGGAATCCAAAAGTGACGTATTGGATTGTGTAACAGTAGTTCCTAAATTTTAATTCTTTATGTAACCTATTTCTATCCTGTTTTCTTACCTAAAGCTCTTCTTATTCCTTATTGAATGCTTGATTTTTTTCTGATTGTTATGAAAATGGAGAGGAATTTGCCAAAGGAGACGAAGATGCTAACAGTGAGGGCAGAAAGCAGTTTACATGCGTACCACGCAATTCTTATTTATTTACATATCTGACATCTATACTTTACTTTTTTACTTATTATACCTCTCAAATCTTACTTTTTCACATAAAAAATACCACTATTTTATCTTTTAAAAAGTGAAAATACTCTTTTTTTTAATGCATAGTAAGGTGGCTTATTTGTAAAAATTGAAGTGTAGGTGTTAGTTATGTAATTACATAAGTTATGTATGTAAATCTTCCTTTATTTAATTGTTATTATATGACATTCTTTCTGCCCGCAAAGCATAATTGCATCTGTAATTTCTTATTAGCACAACTAGCTATAGCAGTTTGTTGTTTTGTTGCTGATGATTTTATTGAAGAAAATTCTCACTTATTGATGCAATAAATGATGCATCTTTTTCTTCTTAAAAAGTGTGAAATGCTCTTTTTCATCTCCAATGGTGCATGCTCACTATGATCTTAAAGGGAAATGCAAATGTTTGAGAGTTTGGAAGCAAAGTTTCAGTATCTGACATGTAACTGATAAAAGTAAGCATGCATACGGCTATGGTTTGTTGCTTCAAAATCCGCATACAAGAGAAGTAAATGTTTTCGAGCCTCTCCAAACCTTCGATATTTTGGGCATAAGAAGATGTCAGCTTGTTAGTTACAATTATAAAGTTTCCTTATTTCATGCAAAACTTATTCTTCCACATGATTGAGAGAGCTGTTGCTGTTCTTTCTTTTATTTATTTCAGCCAAAATATTGTTATTAGTTCACATTGCGCAGTGGTGCACCAGGAGACTATGGTAGATTCTTAGCCTATATAATTTGGACCGGTCAAATCACTGTTATATGTAAAGAACTGGGATCACAACATCATGGTGGATTCGTGTTCTAACTTTTATCTTTCTCCTCCATATTCTCATTCAAAAACGTACTCCAAAACTACATTTTTGGTTTCTAATATGATAAAGGATGAACTAGATTTTTCATGCAATGAGCATGTAACTATGATGAATTGTACTCATAGAAGATGTTATTCCCATTTTGCATTCTCCGCACTAAAATATCAGCTACAATGATTGTTGAATCGGTTTAGTAGGGGCCTCAATTGGTCCCTTTCTATGAATTAAGGGATCAAATCTCAATCATGTTAGACTCATGTTGAGCTAGTGAGTGTATTGGGTTTAGTTTACATCAGATAGTTTGAAAAATATGTTAGTATAAAATACCAAATAGTTGACTCTCTCCCATAAACTTTAAGCTTTTGTGTTGAAAAATGGATTTGATCATGTTTCCGACTTAGGCACACGAGTGTTAATTTAGCCTCAAATTAGATAGTTGTCAATTATATTGTATAAAAGGCTTTATTTTTTCGGCTAACGATGAGTTTAAGAATAAGTACATTGAGCCAAATTTTGTTACCTTTGGATTCACAGACCCTAATGATTGTATAGTCCACCATATATCTTATAATTTTAACTTATGTCTCATGATTTTATGAATGATCTTATTTGATCTCATTTTAATCATAACTTCGCTGCCACGAAGCTTCAAACCTTGAATTGAACCAATGAAAATCGAACTGAAGATGAGATCAAATGCCCATTAGGCTCTAAGCATTTAAATAAGTTTTTTTATTCTAGTTGGATTTTTCTAAGTTCTTGAATGTCGTGTTTGCTGCTGAAGGGTTAAGTATGCAAACTGCATTGAGACAATTTATTTTCCTTCTACAAGTTAAATAGAAATGCAGGGATAAGGCTGCTTACATCAACTCTTCTTTATATATTCAAGGGAAATTTAAGTTCAATTCTTATGGATTTATATATCTAACACCCAAAATGTAGTATTTATATTCATATAACAGCTTGGTCTTATGGATTTATATATCTAACACCCAAAATGTAGTATTTATATTTATATAACAGCTTGGTCATTCCAAGAAAAAAAATTTAAGTGCCCAAAATCGATTTTTGATTTTGGATTTTAAGATTAAAGATTGAAAGATGAAAAATACAATGAAATACTATCATAAAATTAGACGTGGGCAGTTAAAGAACAAATAAAATTATTTTTTCGAGTAAACTTCAAAACCTTAAGATTTGTGATGTCATGAAAAAACCAATATTATATGAGATAAAGTAACGAATATTATTAAGCAAGTTGCAAAACATGTGCTAACAGAATGAAAGGAAAAACTCTCATGAATAAAAATATTTGGTGGTTAAATAAGTTAAAAAGATAAAAAATAAAATTCTTTTTTTATAAAAATTGTTTTAGGTGTAAAAATTCGGGAGTTGGAAAAAATAAAAGATGATTCGTAGGGAGTCTAAGAGAATAATTTATGATGCTGAGAATTCTGTTTTTAGTTATCTTTATAATAGATTCTATCCTAGAGATGGTAAAAATATATAATACATAAATCAGTCGAATAAAAAGATAAAAAATGTAAAAATTTTGTTCAAATAAGGTGTATTAAGGGTGAAAGTCAAAATGTGTTTTTTTAGTTGATGACATTGAACATCAGTGGGTGAGATATTTTAATTTTTTCATTAAGATTGTGAAAATATGATCCACTTTAGACATTTTAATATCATATATAATAACGAAACTTTTTATTTCAACTATTACATTAGTAAAATAGAAATTCAAGGGGCTATGAAGAAAATAAAGTGTGAAAAAGTAGTAGGACTTGATATTATTTCAATAGAAGTGTAGAAATATTTAGATATGAGATTTTCTTGGCTTACTAATTTTTTTAATATTTTTTTGAAGAACTAAAATGATATTTGATGAGAGGAGAAAGAGTCTATTGGTTCTTATTTTTAAGAATAAAGGAGATGCGCAAAAGCTTGCAAATTATAGAATAATTAAGTTATTCTATCATACATTAAAGTTATGGGAGAAAGTAATGTAACATAAGTTATGATGTTATACAAAAAAATTTCAAAAAAGTTCAAAGAGAGTAGAGAGGGTTCACATATGATTTTTGTTGATTTAGAAAAGAAATGTATTGATATTGCTTATATTCAAGTCATTAAAGATATGTATATTAGAGTTACTTGTATTCGAACACAAGGAAGGTTGACCATTTTTTTTTTCTATATCAGTTGGATTACAATAGGAATCGGCTTTGAACTCATATTCTTATGCTTTAGTTATGGATAGTCTTTCTAGACGTTTTTAGGAGGATGTACCTTGGTGTATGCTTTTCTTTGATTATATCCTTTTATGAATAAGTCTAGAGAGAGTTTGGGAAAACCTTCAATTATGAAGGTCAACTTTAGAGCCTTTTAGGCTTTCATTTGAGTAGATCTAAAACTTAATATATGGAATGTAATTTTAGTAATAGTATATGTAGTGATGGGGTTGTAATACTGGGCGGTCAAGCAATTAAAAAGAGTGCACGTTTTAGATATCTCGTGTCTATTGTTCAAAGTGATGGTGATATAGATGGGGATATTATTAGTAGAATTCAAGTTGGATGGTTGAAGTGGAGAAATGCATTAAGCCTATTTTGTGATAGAAAAGTAATGCTTATACTTGAAGAAAAGTTTTATAAGATGGTGGGGAGACCTGTAATGTTTTATGGCGCAAAATGTTGTCATGTAAAGAAGAAGCATAAAATTATGTGTTGTTGAGATTTGAATGCTCAGCTGGCTTTACACTTAAGAGTAGAAAATGCAAAACGAACAATTTATGAAAATATGACACTCAATAGGATAGAATGGAGGAAAACAAAATTCAGTGTAGATATTGGCCCGAAATATGTGGAAGGTTTGGAGATAAGATTAGAGAGAATCACTTTATAGATAATTTGGTCATATTAAACGTCCAACATCTGATGACCCAATTTGGAGAGTAGATGTTTTAGATTTGATTTTTGTTAAGGTAGATATAGACTTAAAAAGACTTGGGCATGTTGTATGAAAATTGATCTTGATTTATTGACTTAAATAAAAATATGACACTCAATAGGATAGAATGGAGAAAAAAATTTAATGTACCCGACACCACTTAGTAAGATAAAAGTTTGTTATTGTTGTTGTCGTCGTAATAAATCTATGCATGAGAAGGTGTATTTCTCGTTTAAAAAGATAGTGATGATGATATTTTTTATCCGATGTTAAATATTTAAGTTTTATTCATGTAAATATGAATGCTTTGGTGTCAGATATGTAAATACATAGAAATTGTGGTGTGTAGCTCTATGCTTGGATGCACACTCTAATTCACAGAAAAAACAGATGCGAATCTTTGAAATTTCAGCGCTTCGTTCTTTTTTATGACACCTAAAGCTGCAAATTTCATAATCCATATTCCAACAAGTCTCTTACTATCATTACCACTACATTTCTGTGTTTACATACTTAACACCAAAACTTTTTTTTTTTTGCATACATATCTCACCTTTTCATTTTTTAAAAGTTAGACTTGTGGTGTTTTTGATGTGATATGAATGATTTGGGTGTTATAAATATATTAGTAAAATTTAAGTGTTAGATATGTAAATACATATGATTTGGGTGGTCCGTACTTAAATGCTCTGAAATGATTTGCTTCTCATCAGCTGCCAACCTTTCTCCATCTGTTCCAATACAGAACCCAAATAAGAAGATATAGAACAAGGCTACCCTTGGCCTTAGACACCGGAGGCGGCGGCGGCTCCCTCGGCGCAGATCCTCAGGGCGACTTCAACGGCGGAAATGCCGGGCTCGGCAGGACGAGACTAGGAGAAATAGTGAGCGCTGGGGCTCGAGAAATTCTCGAGAAGCTAAATTCCGCTCGAAAGAACTTCCCGACGAAAATTTTTCTGCTGCTGCTGGGTTTCTACACCGCCAATGCCTTGGCAACAATTTTAGGGCAAACAGGAGATTGGGATGTTCTTGTTGCAGGAATAGTGGTGGCTTCCATAGAGGCTATTGGGATGCTTATGTACAGAAAGCCTTCAAGAATGGGGATGGGGAGGTTGAAGGCCATGATAGTTTTTGTAAATTATTGGAAAGCTGGGGTTTGTTTGGGACTTTTTGTTGATGCTTTTAAACTTGGAAGCTGAAATTTTGATTTTTGTTTTGGATTTTATGAGAAATGGCTTCTATTTAATTGAAATTAGTGGATTGATGTAGGTTTTAATGGGGTTTTGTTGAGGATTTTTTATTGGCATAAAATTTTAATATTTATATGGAGGAAGATTTACTTGAGTACCGCTTAATTCTGGTGTTTTTGCATGTCAAATATTATATCAGGACTCCGCATACAGAGCTGCTTGTGGAGTCCAATATTAAGCCGACATGTGGAAAGTCGGGGCCCACCAACATAAAAAATGAAAAAAAGAACGAAAACGCACGACTATTATATCGTATAAGAATATTCCCTCACGTTATTCTGAATATTTTTCACGTTATTCATGTGTTATTGGTGTGTTATTGAAGTGATTCAACCAAATGACAAAATAAAAAGTTTTACTGCTGTGCTATTAATATGTTATGAAAATGATTTTGAGGTAGTATTGTTGTTTAAAAAACAATATCTCAAAATCACCTCAGTCACCATTCTTAATGTGTTATTGGTATATTTTTCATGTATTATTGATGTATTTTTGAGATAATATTTTTCTCATTATTCATGTGTTATTAGTATTACTATTTAAAGAAAAATAACATCTCAAAATCACCTCAATAACACACATGACATATGAATAACGCGGAAAATATTTAAAATAACGTGAAGTAATATTCTTGTAACGCGGTCGGATCGGGTCGCGCATTTTGTTCTTTTTTCATCTTTTATGTAGGTGGGGTCCAGTCTTCCACGTGAGTTCGATATTGGACTTCGTAAGCAACTCTACATGCGGAGTCTTGATGTAATATTTTTTAACTTCACTTATTTAGACATATACCATCTTACATATGTATTAATTTTATCAGCCATACGAAGCTTTAGATATACTGCTACAATCACAGTAGATATGATTTATGAAAGCAATATTTCTCTAATTCATAAAATTAACAAATTTTTAACACCAGAAAAAATGCGAGCCCTTGACATATCTAACCCTAGATAAAGATTCATTAGAAGGACTACAGAGGGAAAACTTTGCAGAATCACACCGAGTATAAAATGTAAAATTGCACTAGTAAAGTTCGAGGACCTCAAGAACCCTACGTGCATGAATATGTAAGGCCGTCTGCCGCTGCTCGGGATCTAGGGTTGAACCGAAGAGTCTCGCAGCCCATATGAGAGATGCACATTTTTCGCCTAGTAGCTGCCTGATGTCTTCGTGGATGTTCGCCAGAGGAGTGTGGTCCCTTCTTCCATTAACTTGTCCGATTAGTAGCAGCAGGAATTCC